GCCTTGTGTAGATAGCACTAAATGTTTGGCACAATGCCATAAGATACAGACTAAATGCAATGAACATTAATAATCTCAAAACAAGATGTACTGGAGTTCCTGACGTCACATCTGCTATAATTATAAACGATACTAACCACACACTGTGGTGTCAGACTTCCACTGACAGTAGTAATACTTTTAACCCCCACAGAATGCAGTTTGATCCATGACCCTCACAATAAGACAACCCGGAAGATAAACAGTTCAGTGAAAAGCCGAAGGGTTATTGTTATTTGTATAGAATCTTGAGATTCGCAGTTCAAGCTCTTCTACAGTTCTGTTAACGTCGATTTAATTACTTTTAACTAGGTATAGATTGATGTAGGTAAGACCGACTTTATTAAGTTCCATTATGCTAGAAATATTAAACCGAACTCGCGAATAAAGGTTAACATAGAAAATCCTTAACCTACACGTATAAACTTACTAAGTAGTACTAAAGATGCAAGGCGAGGTTGAGACTGGAGTTGGAAGGTTTACAAGTTGGTATGTTTAGAAATTATGTGAATGTCTTTAATAGTCTGTCATACATCGTAACTTACCGTCACTCTTGTAACGCAACAGGTAGAAAATTCCGTCGTCCGATGTACGTTACTGTTACTCTTCTAACGAAACTTATCGTAAAAGGTATACGGCTCTGTCTTCCAACGTAACTTCCCCTTACTCGTTTAAGGACACTTACCATAACGTGTTTATAGATTAAAGTGCTTGATGAGTTATACAATATAGACTGTTTAGCAGCAGTAAAAATAAATGACACTCTCTCGAAAACATTCAACATTTCAACTTGAGTTCCACAAGGCTCTGTCATGTCACTGTTCTGATACAATATATTTGTTAACGACATACAATTCCCAGACTTAACATATATGTTTGTAAAGCAGGACACAATATAACTGTCCCATGAAACAGTAGATAGTTTCCGTGATTGGACGACCCTGGTATAATTTTTTAGTATATCTGAAGAATTTAAAAGATGACCTCACCTGGTTTCTGTATGTTCAAAATTAGAGGTCCCACTGGGGGGCGACTTTTGTTAGAGATCATTTATGTACATCAAATACTTTTCTTAGATAATTCTCTATAATCTTGCTAATAAAGTTTAGAGGAACAGTAGTATTTGATGTATATAAAATATTTCTGACCCTAATAACAGTTTAACATTTAGGGGTTATTCACGTTTTAAAATTAAGAAAAATATTTCGCTGAGAGTCATCTTTAAACTTTAATTACGCATGAAAAGTTTTTTTCAAGATGAAATATTTGATTCCAACATTATGATGGTCGTACGTTCTTTGCCAATTTAAATATACCTGTTATAAACAGTTTTACCGTGCGCCACCTGACGGTTCGAATCAAAGAACATTTCAAAAGTAACTAGGAAATCATATCAGTATTTACACACAGTTCAATAACACGTGTAATGGGACACCATGTGATAAAGGCTTCAGCATTCTCTGCTCAGCAGAGAACGACAGGACGTAGCTAATAAAGGAGACTTTATTGCTTAGACATGTAAACATCTAATTACCTGATGATGATGACCGCAGTAAATAGGTCAAAAGCTTGTATGGAACATTTGGTGTTTTGGTTTTAAATATGTCTGTATTCTCAATTAGCGTTCTTTGTTTTATGTAACTTTAATTAATGTCTTATGTCAACACGTTCCGAATGTCATTTCCAGGTAATGGTTAAAAGAAATATTTAGGCTTAAAAATACACAGTTTTTTTTTATCATTATACGAAACGCATTGTTGTTACACGCAATTCTATCAGTTGTTGGGAATT